ACAAGGTTGGGTATGAGACTCCTTTTCCCTAACGTCATGAAGCCTGATGAATTTTCACGTGTTTCTCTTCACAGGAGCCGCAGAGCAGCCGGTGCCTGGGTAAGGATCATCTCATTGCCTTAGACTGCCCTGGTCCCAAGCTGTCCTTGAGGCTGAGGTAGTAGATTGAATAGTTGTGGAGTCCTATCCTCCCTTTGAGCTAACTATACAATCTACTGTCTTTCCTAAGGAGACAGTCAGGTCTTCAGCTCTCGTCACCTACTTCTGCTCCAAGCGTCGAGGCAGGTGGTGCAAGTAGTGCAAAGCCAGTGATACAGCCGTGACTGAGGCCAGACCTCTGCACTGCTCTGTGGAGGTGAGGTAGTAGGTTGTATAGTTTGGTGGGAGGGATTTTATCCCATTTCAGGTGATAACTATACAGTCTATTGCCTTCCTTAAAGAGCAGCAAAACCACTGGAGGAGGCTCAGCCACAGAGCTCCTGAAGCAGCACTTCTTTCTGTAGAGGATCCCAAAACAGCACGACATTGTTGAACAACCCAGTGGGTCTTCTCTTACAGCACCCAGGATTGCATCTTCCAGGGACTGCCCTGTGCCTCGGTCGTATGAGCACAGAGCCACCTGCTAACAGAAAACCTATCTCTGTTTAATGGGTGCAAGAGAAACCCTGAAATGAGTTGGTGCATCAGCTCCTGGTGTCCAGTTTATTCGGGTTTTTTTCAGGAGGTGGCCTCAAGTAGTAAAGGGTTTAAATGTGCTATTCTTTTCTAGTCTGTCCTTGAGTCTGGAGGGGACTGGATCCTGTGGTACAAAGAGGATAGATCTGAGCTTGTGATTTAAGTTTGTTGCACCCAGTTCTGAAGTCTGGGTTAAGAACTAGATCCAACAGGAAGCTTAGCTTGTGGACTCAAAGCCCTGGGAGCTGATCAGATTTGGCTGGTTGGCCCCTGCTCAGGAAATGCATTCTGTTCTGGACAAGTTCCCAGCTCTCCCATGTTACAGAGTTACAGGGTGTTTTTTTCTGATTTGATAATCCATATCAACCTAACTCACTTATATGCAAACCCTGGTGAGGAGATTAGGACTCCTGTGTATTTATATAGAATAAGACAACAGTTCAGTCTAACACCCTGTGCTAGAGAAAGAGACAGGTAAAGAAGAGATGTGAGCCAAAGGGAGCAAGTCCTAATCCTTCTGGGTTCTCCCAGGCAGGTAGCACTGTCGTCTGACAGCAGACATATGAGAAGACAGCGTGCTTCAGAGCTCTGGCACTTGACAAGGGACAGGGAATCGTTATTTCTTCTCTTTCTTAGGAGCAGATGGGACTATCCCTCTGCCATAGCCCAATGTAAGCAGGATCAAGTCCATGACTGGAGCTGCAACACGAGCAGGGCTGCATCAGTTCAAGACTGAAGGGCATCTCGGGCCATTATCACTGCCGTCTCACTGTCAGGGAGATGTGTGAGACCTGAGACATCGGGCAGCGGGGGCAAGCAGAGGACATCTTCTCAGATGAAGTGGGAGGAAGAGAGCTGCAAAAGAAATTGGAGTCCTCAAATTTCACCCGGAGCAAACACACATGGAGACTCAGACCTGACTGCTTGGGCCATGGGACTCCCCAGAATAAAGGAGCTTGTTTAAGGCTCCTCTGCTTCTTGGGATGGGGCGTAGCTGCAGCGAGGCTGGGACGTGACTTCCTCGGGCTGGGCAACAGCTGGTGGGTGGGGATGCCGCAGTGTCTAGCAGCAAAGGAATGCAGTCCTCTCTCCATAAATCTGGCTCTTCAGCAGTCCTGGCGACTTGCTGTGCAAAACTACAGCTTGGTCCTCTTGGATGCCTTATTGTCCTCTAGCTGCTAGCTGAGGGGCAGGGCTCCTACCCGCAAATTGCTTGGAAGGTACCAAAATAACACCACAAGCATGGGAACAGAGCGGCACATCCACATCGTATTTAAGAGGTACCCCCTAGAAAAGAACTAATCCTGTGTGTCCCAAAGTCAGTTCAGTCCCCCTTCATTGCATCGGTGTCAATGCAGAGAATCTCAAGCAGTGAAATTGTGTGAGCTCGAAGCCATGAATAAAATATTACTGGAGATATTCTCTTTTGAAAATAAACTTGTTTTGAGTTTTTTTTCAAAACGTGTCCTTTTACTGCCTTGAAGTGAGCTTGGATGGTGAACTGGGATCTCTAGAGGGGTGGCCAGCGTCCCTGACTCTGTGCCACTGACCAAATTCTCCATTTGACCAAAATCCTGAGCATGTAAGGGAAGCCACAGCCAGGACACGTGGGGCAGATCGGGTTGGCCGGGCAGCTGAGACCATCTGCTTTGGCTGTCAGTAGGTGCTTTCCTGGGCCAACCTGAATCCTGTCACAAAGCTCAAACCTGCTTCCTCACCTCAGTCAGCACAAGGGTTTCTCTCTGCCTTGGACAGCCCTCGCTATAAGCATGTTTATAACTCTGATACCAGCAAGGGGTGAACACAGGGACTTGCAGCCTGCACTAACCCATCGTCTTGTCTCTGATAAGTCATAACTAGGGCTCAGAAACCTGCCAAGGCAATATTTCCTTTCTCTAATGCTTCCTGGTATATGGGAGAGAGCAGCCTCTGCCCAGGAGGGAGGTGAGCAGGTTGTCTGAGCTTATAACTGTGGAAATTTGGGACACCCAGCTAACTCACTGGCCAGGATGCCCAGGCCCGTTTCAGCATGGCAGCTGTGCTGTGGCAGCAATGCCATCACTGGCCACAGTGGCCACAAGGGGTAGGCGCCTTCTTTTAGCAAAAAGCAGCCAAGAAACAAGAGGGAGAAAGGTGGGTCCCCACCAGAACCCCCGGGGACACTGCAGGACGAGAGCACATTCAGCCCCAGTACTCCGAGGGATATGGGGCAGCTTGCTGGACCTACGGCATCACGGCCCCAACTGCGAACTCCCCAGGACGGTGCCTGTGATTGCCCCGACCCTTCCACCTCACCATGTTCTGGGGAGCTTCGGGAGCACGAAGCCAAGTGACCTCTCACTCAACCTGAAGCGGGCACGTCCCTCTCTGCTGGGAAACAGGATCCAGGGTTGGCAGGGGAACCAAGCAGGCAGGGTGAGCGTAGCAGCCAAGCCTTATAAACACCACAAATCTCATTATTTTAACCCAACTGACCACAGCTGATGATTAAATGCCTCCTCCTCCTCCCACCAGACATGGCTATGGGGCTGCCAGGACCCAGCAGTATCTTTGCCAGGGTGTTGGCCCCTTTCTCCCTCCAGGAGTTGCCCACTGCATCACCCGGGTGCCAGCGCATCCTTCATGCCAATCCCAGAAATGGTGTGGAAATGCCACAAAAGTCTCCTTTGAATGTTTTGTGTCCTCCCCTGTGCACCACACCATACCCTGCCCTTGCCATAAGGTCACGTTCCCTCCCTCCCTAAACCCTCCTAATTTAGGATTAAACCACACCAACTCAAATACTGGTGCTGGCAGGGTTCAGCCCCACTGTCCTGGGGTGGAGGGGGAAGAGGAAAGGAGATTTGCCTTCTGGTTTTGCATTTTCTGTTACAAGGAACTCTATAAATAGGTCCGTGCACAACTGCATGTTTCCAGAAGTCAAAAGCTTAAGGAAAACAAGATTCAACAGTTTTTACAAGGTCCACTAGCCCCAAAATAATGATAAAATATTAAAATCCTAGAATTATTTTGATGGGCTGATGCTAACGCTGTTTATCAGCAGCACCATTGTTCCCAGCTCCACGGTGGCTCTCAGCAGGGTGAAGGATTCAGCGTTGCAAAAAATCAGGTGTTGACCAAATGCCCTGATTTTACTGGGAGGAGAAATGCTTTTCTGCTCTTTTTGTTGTTTATAGGGAATTACTGCTATGTCCTCCTTCACACAGATGGAAAAGCAGTCAGACTCTTAAATGCCCTCCCAGCTCCATCCCTGCCTGAACCCTCGCCCTGTACAACCGGTGACCACCGGCCACTCTCTGTATTTCTCTCGTCTGCCCCTACCCCAAGGCTGGATTTTTTTTCCCCGAAAGCAGCTCAGCAGCAGGAGCTCAGCCTGCAACGAGAGCGTACAGCAGCCACGGCACCTGGGCAGGAGGTTATTTTTAATCTGATTCTTAACTACATCTCATGCTTGTGATTAAATAAAGCACTAAACTCCCTGTAGGGTTCTGCGTAGCGAGTTCAGAGCTGGCCAGTTCTCTGCGGTGTCTCTCCCACTGCCATCTGCCGGTCACCAGGGCTGGTGGTGACCGTGACCTAAAAAAACCCCTCAGGCAGCTGGTTTCCTGCAGGAGAGCGGGTGCTGCTGGGCTCCTGCTGTAGGATTTCAGGGAGAAGGGAAGGGCAGAGCCGCAGGGCAGCCTGGCCAGGCAAAGCAGGGGCGGGAGGATGGGGAGAAGCAAAAAGCGAAGGTCCAATCCCAGCGAGTTCACAACCTGCGAGGCCCTTTCCCCACGTGCTTCTCGCAGCTGGGTGATGTTCTACAGTGAAAATGCTGCAGAAACTTGGCATCTGGGGACACATGCTTGCATTTAACTTCTTTTTTTGCTGTAAAGATGAAAAAGTATGTGTTTGGGGGTGAGAGGCTGGCTGCTGGGCCTCTAAAAACAGGGAGCCAGAAGCGCCCCAGCCCCAGGTTTTTTGTGGTGGTTTTTTTTTTTTTTTTTCTGAGCTCTCTTGCTCTTGCTTTCCTTTCCCAAAAATTCCTGGTGGGGACATATTTTTGCTCTGCACTAAGCAGGACCTTGGGAAATATTCCCTATGTCATCCTCAATCTCCTCATGGCTGCTGCTTTTACACCGGATTAAAAACATTAAATTGCAACCTTGCAAAAATCAGCACCCGGATGTTTCTGGAAAGGAAAAAAATCTTCCAACACCCCCAGGACCCACACTGTCTTTTAGCAAATCTACCTAAGCACACAGTCAAGGACATTTTACAGATATAATAAGGCGGCCCCCGGCCTCCAGATCCCCCAGTGAGACACTGCACGCCCCACAACAGGGTTTCACAACAGGATTTATTCAGTGCATGCTCTGGGGATGAACAGGACACAACATCATGGGGAAGGACACGAATATTGGCCTTCAGGACATTCTCCACCTCATCTATTTAAGAAATCAAAGGATGTGACAACCAGAGCAGGGACTGTATCTCCTAGTCCCTTCCACCGGTCTGCAAAGCTTGAGCCATATTTAACACACCTTCCTGGGAATCCTCAGGTGAAGGGAGGGGAGACATGAGGGAATAAAACACACAGCGTCCCAGACAATGAAAGTGGTCCTGTAACAACTCCTGGAACCACCCGTAATCTCCAACATCATTCACTTGACTCTCTTGAGCTCAAATTGTACAAGCACATGTAATGACCTTTTTCTCCTGGACCAGGTTCCACCACACGCAAAATATATGTCAACTGGGATCTGTATCTAAATTCAAATACACTTAAGTTATGCAAAGAAGGAAGCCATGCAGAAGAAAGCTGTACAGAGAAGTCGGTAACTCCTCTTTAGCACTGAAGGGTTTTCTTCTGTGCTTGCACACAGGTGCAGGCACACGCGTAAAATAACGTCATGGCAATGGACTAACTGTGGAATGGGTACATGTTGCAGAGAGCAGAAGAGAGGAAGAGACAAGGGTTGCCGAGGTGTGAGGAGGAGAAAGGAGTACATCTGGGTAGTACTGGCCATAGCTACCAGAACCAGGAAGGAAATAGAAAACCTCTCCTGTGGAACAAAAAAAAAGAAAAAAAAAAAGCCACTCTTTTTTGACAAGGTGGGGTAAAAGATGAAGCTTCTCCAAAATTGAGACAGACAGACACATCAGGAGGGGAAAAGAGCGTTTTTGTTGGAAACTCATCCTGACAAACACCAAATCCAACCACCATGTCTCATGGCCACTCGCGTTTCCAAGTCGTTCTGCTTTCCCTGGGGACACGGTGCGGCGGAGCCTGCCAGCCACACAGGTGGGTGGGACAGCTCATCACTTCCAGTTTGGAAACGGACCAGAAGCCCAGGCTGGCTGGGAAGAAAGGAGAAGGGTCCAAGGTCACCAGCATTATGGCAGACACCCTCCTGCCCTTGGGTCTCCTCAGGAAGGGGACCAAGTTCCCATGGGACTGCCAGCTGCCCTTGGCTCGCCGGGGCTGGAGCAGATGAGGCAGGGTAAGAAGAGAGCGTGTCAACCGGAATTGTCTGTGGTGTCTCCCAAGCCTACCAGCGTTGTGGAACAACCAATGCTGAAGAAAGCCTTGGTTACTGGTGCAGGGACAGCTGAGAAAGACCATTCAAAGCAGAAGGCCCACCACGATGACACTGGGTAGGAGGAAGAGTGAAAGCCCCAAGTATGTAGCGGGGGCTCCAGCCGTGGGATGATCCATGCTCGTCTGGTCTGAGTTTGTCTCCAGTTCCTCAGTGTCCAGGGCACCTGCTGGCAGAAGAAAACCCAGAGTTAAGGGGGAAGATGGGGACAAAAGAGAACATCCCGCTCATGCAGGTCCATCAGTGACGTGCACCAAGGCAGCAGCGCAGCGATCCAGCGAAGGCGTGACACGGCCGTGGGTTAGTGGGGAGCAGGCTGTAAACAGAACCATGCTGCACGAACGAGACATCCGACCTTACAGCGTTAGAGGAAAGAGTGAGGAAAAGGGTTGGTGCCACACACGAGAGGAGGATCCAGAGGACCAGTCTGATACTGGTTCCTCCCAAGCGCTCTCCATGCTGCTTGGGGATCACTGGACGTCTGCGTGTCCATGCCAGGACAGACCCCACAATCACCTTACCTGAGAGGGAGGTCTGGAAAGCAGGGCTCTGCCCTTTTTTTTCTTTGGAAGATGATGTTAAGCGCAAGAAGGTAGGCTCTTCAGGGCTGAAAACCACTGACTTTGAGGGGGTTATGAGTTCACCTTTATTGAAAACTAACTTGATCTCTGGAACAATTTGGCTGGGGGATGGAGGTGGACTGGAAAAGGCTGATTTCTCTTTCCCATCCTCTTTCCCATCTTTATTCATTTCTGGGACAGATTTGGGGCTGAAGGCTGTGCCCATGCTTTCTAGTAAGGCTGGATCCTTTGTAGTTAAGGGGCTAACAGGCTCTCCAGTGTCTACCTCTACTTCTGGAGATACTTTATAATCCAGGTCTAACGTGGGCTCAAAGGAAAGAGTTAACGCAGTTGCCTCAGTAGGATTGAGTGTTTCTGTTTCAATGGGTTCTGGCTTTGTGGTTGTGGAAGTTTTCGCTTGTATCTTGGCTGTCGTGGTAAGTGCTGGTGGTGGTGTGGTGATTTTTGGCTTTGCTGATGTCATAGTGGTAGGTGTTGGCTTGGCTGTAGCAGGCTTTGGCTTAGCCGCAGTTGTGGTGGGCTTTGGTTTGGTTGTAGTGGTGGTTGTGGTGGGTTTTGGTGTGGTGGGTGATGGTTTGGTTGTAGTGGTGGTTGTGGTGGGTTTTGGCGTGGTGGGTGATGGTTTGGTTGTAGTGGTGGTTGTGCTGGGTTTTGGCGTGGTCAGTGATCGTTTGGTTGTAGTGGTGGTTGTGGTGGGTTTTGGCGTGGTCGGTGATGGTTTGGTTGTAGTGGTGGTTGTGGTGGGTTTTGGTGTGGTCGGTGATGGTTTGGCTGTAGTGGTGGTTGTAGTGGGTTTTGATTTGGCTGTAGTGGTGGTTGTGGCGGGCTTTGGTGTGGTGGGTGTTGGCTTGGCGGTAGCGGTGGTTGTGGTGGGTTTTGGTTTAGTTGTAGTGGTGGTTGTGGTGGGCTTTGGCGTGGTGGGTGTTGATTTAGTCGTTGTTGTTGTGGTGGGTTTTGGCATGGTGGTTGTGAGCATGGTGGGCTTTGGCTGGGCAGCAGTGGTGGTGGGTGCTGGCATGGTGGGTTTTGGTTTGGCCATGGCTGTGGTGGCTGCTGGTGCTGCGGGTTTTAGCTTGGCTGGGGTTGTCAGTGGGAGGGTGGTGGCAGGTTTTGGCTTGGCTGTTGTTGCAATAGGTGCTAGTGTTGTGGGTTTTGGCTTGGCTGTGGTTGGGAGCATGGTTGTGGGTTTTGGCTTGGCTGTGGTGAGTGTAGTTGTGGGTGGTTTGGCTGTGGTTGTGGTTGGGAGCGTGGTTGTGGGTTTTGGCTTGGCTGTGATTGGGAGTGTGGGTTTGGGTGGTGGCTTGGTTGTGGTTGGAAGTGTGGTTGTGGGTGCTGGTTTGGCTGTGGTGGGCACTGGTGTTGTGGGTGCTGGTTTGGCTGTGGTTGTGGGTTTTGGCATGGCTGTGGTTGGGGCGGATGGGCTTGCCTTTGTTGTCACAGGGGCTGGAGTGGTCTCTTCTACAATGGGTTCTGGTAAGAGACGAAAAGGGCCACGGGTTAGGGCTGGGCTCAGCTGACCTCAGCGGATCCCCTGCACCGAGCGGGGCCACCAGCAGTCAACCGGGGCAGTGGGAAGCAACAGCCGACCCCTCTCAGGTCACTCTGGGCCATCCCCTGCTCCGGGGTTCCCAACCTGGAGACATCTTGTCTCCCTCACACAACCTCCTGCCTCAGGATGGGGGCAGCCATGCCTGGCTCAGGGGGTACGGGGTCCTTGTCTGCCCCTCCTCGAGGCAGCTGACCTGCCGTAGGCGCTGCCATTGCACCTCATGTCTCATGGTCCAGCCCTGGAGCTGGTGGGTGAGGGCTCCCCAAAGCTCCAGGAGGGATCAGAGCTTGGACCCCACCACAGGGGTCTGAGCCCCAAGAGCTTGTCAAGGGACACGTAATGACTTCACTTACCACACAGGGAGTTGACACAGACTCTGTCCTCAGGACACTGCGAGCATGAGGGTCCTTCCTTGTACGGCTTTCGGCCTTTCATATTACCCCTGGAAGAAGAAGACACCAAGAAAAAAGAGGCATGAAGAGAGGGGGAAACACCCATCCCAAAGAGGGAGTCTGATTCAACTGGAATATCCCAGCCAAGACAAAACTCAGGATTAATGTAAAAAAACAGGTCTCTGTCTCCTGCCACACTGTCAGTGCTGTTTACTCAATGGCCTGACCCAAGGCTGCTAAAACCAGGGGAGACAGCTCCATGGAGCAGATCCTTCAGCACCCCTCAGAACAGAGCAGTCGATGGGTATCTGCACACGTGATGTCGTCTCCTTTCTGCTCAAGACCCCTAAGGAGGTCTGCAGCGACCGGCCACCCTTGTTTGGCCTCACCAGCTCCAAGCAAGCCGTTCCCAAGGCTGGTCCCAGGGCTCTGCAAGCCGGCACTCACCTCTCCTCCCACGTCCAACCCTTCCTGCTGGTGCAAACATGTTTCTCCACCTCAGGCAACCGCTGCTGCCGGCGGGGAAGAACAAGGTGCAGAGCAGGGAGCTGCCGTTTGTATCCTCAGCTACTGGGAGTGTCGGCCGTGGGCAGCTCTTGGAGAGGGGGGAGGTCCCTCCCTGGGTCTGTGCCAGGAGCTGAACCAGACCTCAACAGTTGCAATCACGGGCGAGGATCACCAGACAACCCTTCCTTCCTTTGTGACCAACCCAAGATTAACAAAGACTGTTCTTGGACTTGCTTTGCTGTTATTTCTGATCAAGGCCAAATCCCGCTCTGCTATAGGAACCGAAGGAAAGACATTTCCAGCACAGAAACCCCATCAAGGTGCACCAAGCCACACGAGGCATAGGACTTACGGCGGGTAATAGTTGCAAACAAGCAGGTACATGTCCTCTGTTTCGATTCCTTCGATCTTCTCACAAAACTTTGCCCCACAGCCGATCTGATACGTGCTTGCCCAAACCACCTAAGACAAAGACCAGGGGTGAGGGTGAGGTGAGTGGGGGAAGACAGATGCCCTGTTCGCAGCCTGTCCCCTGGCCTTGAAAGCTCCTTTATCACCACACCAATGCCCCCCCTCGTCTCTTAGTGTGTGCCCCAGATCCCCACGTTGCTTTAGCATTCAGGATCCTGCCCCTTGTGTCTGGGCCACCTTCCCAACCTAGGGCTGCAGCCCACACATCCAAGTGCCACAGCTTTCATCCCACATAGTCCATCGGGGCAGAGCATCGCCATCTCTGCTTTGGTCCTAGAACCCTGAGTACATCTGTCCTCGTATTTACCACCAACACCTCTGCTCCTCTTTCCCCACCCAAGCTGTGAAGGAACACTCAGACCTCATATCTCCACCTAAGACAAGTTGGCACCCAGCTCTGCTGAGTAGCCAAACAGGGCTGCAGAGCTTGTTTAAAAGAGGTCTTCTCCAAAAGGCTGGTCATGCCTGGCAGCATGCCCAGGTCCCCCTGTACCATTCTGATTCCTACCTGGTTCCCCATCCCTTTGCAAAGACTTTGGGAGAAGCTGGGGCTCTGGTCCAGCTCCTTTCCCAAGACCCCCATCCCTACATCCCAGCAGCCTGGTACCTGGGTGTAGTGGCCACACATCTGTCCAGGGGCACACGTGGAAGTTGTCAAGTTGTAGTATTTCTCCTCTCCGTTCCAGTCTTCCACAGCAAATTCTAGGTCCAGGGTTGGGGCCATAGCGAAGAGGTTTTCACCTCGGCGGCCCCTCTCCTTGTTGTGGTCCCAGATGCACTTCTCTGCGTAGGCTTGAGCAAAGGCCTCCAGCTCCATGTCCCAGCTCTGAAAGGAGCTTGGTGTCAGCATACGGAGAGGCACACCTGGCTCTCCAACACACACAGAACACGTACCAAGGATTCTTGGGCTCTCTGGCCACAATTTCCCCATTCATGAGTCTTCTAATCCCTACCCAACACAGTTCTCAGGAGATGGGAGCTCCACAGTCAGTCCCAGCACAACCCAAACTTCAGCTTAGAGGTCAAACAGGGGAAGGTCAGGGCATCAGCACAACTCTCACAACTTTGCCTGGAGCATCTCTAACATCATCCTCAACTCAGGGTGGAGAAACCATGAATTCAGATGGAGGAAGGGAGGAAACTCACTCCAGGTCATGCAGGAGGCGGCCTGGGGCCATCCCATCCTTCTTTGACCGGGGTTGAGATGGGAGGAGAGCAGGACACATCTCCCCTGGCAGCTGCACAGAGCCTGGGAGCACACACTCCTGGGAAACATCATCTGCTCTCCTGGATCCAAGACGCGGCTGCCCGGCTGCCTGCCAAGAGCCCCCTCGGAGCCGCAGCAGCCCCACCGCCAGCTGAGCCCACCAGCCTGTGGTCCCCCGCCGGCCACATTGATATGCAGCAGGAGGAGGAGGAGAGGGTTTTTTTGCAGGGAGGCATACAAGGAACCCTACACCGCAGCTGTTTGGACCGTCCTTGTACCATTTGATGGAGACAGAAGCTTTGCTTCTGCAGGGGGCTGGAAGGCAGCCCAGCAAACAGCAGGTCCTAAGGGGGGACCTTCCTGGATGGAGGCAGAGGGGGACAGAGCACGGCCCTGATGCAGGACATGTCCCCATGGGGTGCTGAGGGGATGCGGATGGGCCCCTGAGCAGCAGCACAAAGAGACCAGGGGCAAAGGACACCAAAATATCTGGATGGGGGCACAGACACTGACCTCCCACCGTGGCCCTGAGCCAGGCTGAGAGCGACGGCTGGAAACCCAGTTTGGGGAGCGCACACTCCTCTCCCTCTGGCACGGAGCTGGGCTCCATAAACAGGGGACTCGCACCTGCAGGATTTGCCTCATTAAAAAAGAAAAGTGGCTTTAGGCTATGTATCCCCCCCATCGCCTAACTATTTCCACAGCAACCAGATCCGTGTCCCAAACAGAAGCGCAGGGTGACCTCAGCCGGGCATGGTGCCACGGCAGCAGGTGAACTCAGAGGCGAAGACAGCTCATGCAAACGTCCCAGGAGGGAGGCGAGCACGGCGCTCTCATGGAAAACCTCTACCAAGAAATCATCAGGGCTGCTAAACATTTGTTGTGCTTCAAAAAAAAAAAAAAAAAAAAAAAAAAAAAAAAGCCTTTGGCACCAGACTGCGAGCGGGTCCTGTATGTTTAAGCAAAAACAAAGCAATGCTGAGGAGGGGAGCATCTCAAAGCACACGATCTGCAATCAAAGCTTCAGCCAGGAGCAGCAGTCACTGGTTCAGAATTGCCACTGACTTCAGAACCTGAAGGGATTGTTCCCCTCAGGCTTTGGCTCCAAAGCCCTTATACTCTGAGTTTCCTGTGCTCTGCCCTGGTGGGTTCCGTGGGATCATGGTGCTTCGGGTTCTGGCTCTGTTCCTTCAGAGTCTGAAGTCACTAGTCAGACCTACTATGCCTGAATACAGCTTTTTGCTCCATTTGCTTGGTAAGCTCCCGTTTACCAGACCACAAAGTTTTAATTCAGCCTGGGCAACTTTTGGGCCAGGCAGGGAGGTCTCCTCTAAGTACACTGTGACCAAAAGACAAAAGCACTCCAACTACCCATGATAAACAGTTGTCCTGCTCCTCCAGGCAAACAGTGAGAAAAATCACATGTGGTGCAAGATAAAACACGACAGCCAAATTTTAATCAAATCAAGAGCCTGAATAAGACAAAAAGCAGCACCAGCTTGAGAGCTCGCTTTTGCTCCCACTGCAGCCACACATGATGGTGGGGCCCTGACTCAGTTTCCCCAAGAAAAATGGGGAATCCCTCACCTCCAAGACAGCCATGAACAAGCCACAGTGAGGATTAGGAGTGTGATGGAAAGCCCAAGCAACTGAATGACCTGGTTGACATGTTCAAAGTTGAGGTTCCCTCCCATAGATAAAAGCTCATTGACCTGAAAAGGCAAATAAAACACACCAGGCGATGCCCCACAGCAGGATTCCCCCTCCAGCCCGGGGCACCTGCTCATGGCAACATCTTTCCTGCCTTCTCTCCCCATCACAAGGAGCTCCAGCGGGCACTGATGTGAGAGGGAGCTGCATTGCTCTCACACAGAGCATCAGGGGCCGTGGATCACACTTCAGAACTTCCAGGAATGATCAAAGCCAACTCTATAGGTGAAAGGAAACTCATCACTTTAGAGGCAATTTAGGGAACTCCTCCACTGACACCTAGTTGTGACCCTACACAAGAACTGTTCTGCCTCCCCTAAAGAAAACCCCAATCTCTCCTAGCATAAAGATTGAGGCTTGCACTACAAAAACACCCTCTGATATTCCCCTGCAATAAAAGCCTCTTACCATCTTCAGCATATCCATAGCAGGAGGAGACACCTGGGAGCGGTATTTATTGTGCCCGTCCAAGATTATCTTCTTTTCTTCATCACTCAAGGACCAGCTCAGCTCCAGCGCTGTGAGCAACAGGAAAACAGGAGGAAGACCTGAGCTCAGCATCATGCAGCCAGCTTCTGCTCTTAGCAGCCCACGGCTCTGGCAGTCAGATTTAAAGCACCTCCCAAAAGCAAGGAACACCCAGCAGCTTGAAGATTGGGGAGGAAATGTATTTCTTTATTAGAGCAGAGTTTCGGAGCCACACGGTACACACCCATCTCACATTTCGGCCGTGATGGAGAAGCAGCAGCACGGCCGGTGCCAAGGAGTGTGCAGGGTCCACTCCCCGAGACAGAACCTGTGTCTGAACCATAATCCCTGCGTTGGTATGTTCATCCAAACCTCCGCTGCTCCAAACCTCGGACATCCCCTTAGCCCTCGGTTATAGGTCCCCTCTTCTACCTCCTGTCCCTTTTCTCCTCAACCATAACAATAATCCCATGGCAACTGGCAAAACCCTGTTTTATACAACGGTCCTCCCCATCCCTGAAATGCAGCTGCGTCTAGAAACGAATGCAACAAGATGCAACGGCTGAGAACAGTTTGCAGCGTCGTAACTCCCCGGGTGGGAGTCGCAGCCCCCCTCAGCCAGCCCCATGTCTGTGCACTGGCCATGTCTGGGGGAAAGCAGTGGGCAGCTGGGAACAGCCCCCCCCAAGGGCTCCCCCAGCCTGCTGGTGGGGGTAAGCCAAGGGTTGATGCCCCTTCCCTGTGCCATCAGGAGAAGAACAGGGTATAGAGCTGAAATTGCCCCAAAAAGGGGGAGTTGAGTCTATAGCTGCCTTCAGGGCTGGCTGGAGTAGCCGGACCATTAGCTCTGGAGGGACAGGCTGTGCTCCCTTCCCTCCAGGCAGACACCCGCAGGGCCCAGCATCAGGTGTCCTTGAACCAAGGCTGTCTGGCAGAGACCCTCCAGCCTGCCTGCAGCCTCTTCCTCCCCATCTGCGATTGTGCAAGCGCCCCGGCTCTGCTCCAGGAGCTGCCTTTGGGGATCGCAGGCTATTAGAAAGCATCGGCGGGTGGGCAGCTCTGGCTAGCAGAGCCAAGTTAATCACACGCTGTCGGCTCGGCCTCCCTCTCTCCCCTCCTGGCTCCCCAGGCAACGCTTTGCCATTTCTCCTTTTGCTTTGGACCACACTGATCATCCCTCTTGCCCCAATAGTTCTCCTACTACCTCCCTCATCTCTTACCTCTGCATATTACCTTACCCCTCTGTCGTTAGGCCCAGGGTCTACCATAGTCTCAACAGTCCAACAATTTCTGCAAGCAGGGTCTGAGGCTAACAGCTCCGCTGGTCAAACCAGAGGTTCCCCTTTACTGCTAAGGTGAACTTCAGGACTGCAGTCTCTGTCGAGGCAAACCTGTCTCCATGCTGAGACACCTCCAAAGCTCTGCTGCTGCATCTCCAGAGACCTGGAGGAACAACTAGAAAGGATCAACGCTTGCTCCAACTCCAATCAGCTCACTGTGGCTTGGCTTACAAGGAACAAGGCATTGCTGAGAAGACCCCAACACACCTACAAGTCTCTGCAAATGTGATGCGGAGCCGAAGGGCCAAGCTCCAGGTAGCCCCTGGCACTACAGCATCCTAAGCCTCGCGGGAGATAGGGCAGCAACAAGGACCAAGGAAAATGGGACACACAGTGCTCGAAAGGCAAACAGCCCTGGAGGAGGCACAACCAGGGCATGCAGCTCACGGGGGAATGTGAGAGCCGATGCATTCGGCAAGGTCAGGCACAACTGCTGGCAGAGGGGGTGCAGGGATGTTCCCCAACTCCCCAACCTGCGCCGACAGCTCTTTCCTGAGGCAATGTCTGAAGCCTCGAGCTTAACAGCACAAGGCCCAAGCCCCACCCGGGAGCTGACAAGCTCGTGTCCAGCCGGCATTAGGTAAGCGCACGAGGAATGCGGCTTCGCTTCTGCTCCCTCAGGACCAGCCCAGCCACCCCCCCCAGGAGCTGGGAGCTGGCACCTGAGAGGCTGGGAAGGGGCCATTCGGCTCCACAAAGTCACAGCAGAACCACAAAGCCTGGTTTTTTACTGACTCACGTCTTGAGGATCTTCAGTGCAGCTTCTCGGGTGTCTACCACGGCTAATAGATTGTCTGGGTGGTACCGGGAGCTTTCTCTCCTCTGCTTGACTGTTTTTATGAATTCCAGAGGAGCTTATCATCTTCTACCCCTCAAGGTTTGTCTGAAATAAGCTGAATTATGAAGGACGGATGGAGACTGTTATTGGGAAGAAGGGAGGGACAGGCAGAGCTGTTGCATGAACAGTGTTTGAGGAACCAGGCTAAAACCAACACATTTTCTCAGATGTTTCTTTTGATGTTTCAAACAAGTGTGTTCTGACTTTTCACTTAAAATTACATTTCCACTTGAAAAAGTGCCCTAAAATGGGTTAAATAACCCCTCAAGAACTGACAGGCAAAATTAAAAGAAAAAAACTAATCAGGAAAGGGGAAAAGGTGCATTAACACTTGCATTTAATTGCAAAAAGTAAAAACTTTTTATTCTTACATACAAATCGCATTTATTTACACACTTTACAGGCTTTTTCCAAGTATTTACAAAGTTTGCAATATATTAAATTATGACCATCCATAAAATTCTGCATTAAGTGCATATTTACATTCTTTTTTTTTTTTAAATCTACCACTGAATTTATAGTGTTCAGCATTGAAACAGTCTTTATGCATATATAGCTTTACTTCCCAGCACCCCTGAGCCTTTATAACAAGCCTCCCCTCCCCATAGACAAAGAGATAATGCTAAAAATAAATCACCTGTCATTTGTTTGAATCTCCAAAGCAAAGGGGAAGTCCAGCATCTCCCTTGTTTAACTCAGCAGGACAGTAAATCTATCCTTTACAAGCAGGAGTTTCCTGAAGAGGAGAATATGGTTCTACATAATAAAATCTACGAAGAGGAGAACATTTGGTTTGCAGGAAGCAAAAGCTCTTTGTGCACTCACTGAAATGGCCTCACCCCAGAAAGTGTTTGGTTCTTCTGGGGGCCACGGGGCTAAACGTGGAACACTGAGCTAGGGATGGGGCAGATCCTGCAAACTTCACTCCTCGGAGCAGCTTTCCTGATGTGAACACGGGGGTTCAAAGGCAGGAGGATCACCCTGCTGAGACGGTGGCCTTCACCGAGCTCACGTCTCTAGGAAAAGAAGACACTCTCCTGCTCCCCACCTCCCCTCGCTCGGGGTGTTCCCACGCCGGGGAGGCCAGCCATGAGAGAAGGGAGGTGCTTTGATCCAGCCCAGTAAAACCAGCTTCTCTGCCAGACCATTACAGCAAGAGACTAGCAGGAGAAGCTAAAGGCCCGAGACTCCTGGGAAACCCGACCGTAGAAAGCTCTTCAGGGTTTTGCAAAAGGAGTTTGAGGCTGGGATCTGCAGAGATGCCTCGGGGGAATTTGTGTGTGCAATGCCAGTGGGGAAGAAAAAAAAAGAAAAGAGAAAAAAAAGAGAATCAATAGAAACTGGCAGCTTGGCTCCCCTAGGGGATGCCTATTTCCTGGTACTGAAGTAAATAATACTCCTTTCTCCTCTTTGCAGTTACCCTGAGTTCAGGGCTGACCAAGAGCAACGGTCAGTGATCCCTGCTCTTGGAAACCAGCTTTAAACCGTGATCCTCCTGCCCAGCTGATGGGTGACAGCACATTTTCTAGCCTGACAAGGAGAGAAGTGACCCCTCTGCACCTCTGCCACTGGGCTCTTGGGTAGCACCGATTTCTCTGCCTCACCGGTGTGATTTCAGCTTTGCAGCCTCCGGGAAGTCAGGTGAGCAGGAGCCCATCTCCCCACTCACAGGCAAGGAGCTCTGAAGCACACAGATAAGATTTTAAGAAGCTGGCATGCACACATTGACCAGGCACCCCTCTGAGCTGGCCAGCGTGGGGAGGGGGGGATTGTCCAAACCAGTACATACACCTGCATATGCACAAGTGCCAAAGTGAAGCCAGTGGTGAGGGAGACCACGACAGGACACCCCCCTGCTGCAACTCCCCTCAACACGTCTGTCACTGCGATGCCTCAGTAGCCGAGGAAAGAGCCACATTCCCCCCAGTCCAGCCTCAGTGGATCACTAGATGCTGCTGGCTCTCTAGGGGAGTCCCAGCCTCCTGCAGCCTCTGCAAAGGCTCTGTGAAGCCCAAGCCCCGGATGAGGGAGACGACCAGGGCTCTGGCTGAGATGTCAAAACATCCTTTTGGCCATCTTAGTTTTGCCACTTTGGCCTCACCTCCGAGTTCTCCATCCTGGCTCCTCGCCCGCGCTGCGAGGTGGAAGGCATCAGCACTACTTCTCTGGCAGGGGAAGACAGGAGCTGCTCTAGAAGCTGTGCTACAGGCCGGGGCTCCGCACTCAACAGTGGCTAGGGCCAAAAATCAGCTCTTTATCAGCAGAATTGCCCTCCTGGTTTAGTTTAGCAGCTAATTACAGCTTTTGGAAGAGGAAGAGAAAATATACTGGAAGTTTAAAAACAAATGATGTAAACTCCAAAGGGAGCAAGGCTGGGACATATGCAATGTATCGCCTAGACACAGATCTGGAAACTTATGCAGAGACCATAAAGTGCACTTGGAAAGCTGCTCTGCAAACAGTCCAGATTCACCATCTTCTGTCCAACCAGCTGCAACTCCTTGAGAAGGGGAGAAGCAATACATGCGAGCACTTTCATTAAATAGACACAAACCTGCCCCAGAGCTCCCCTTTTCCCCCCCAGTCTAACCAGTAACTGTAAATAGATCCATTTTCTCTGCTTCTTCCCAAAGGAGCCAGACAGCCACAATGGCTTAACAAAATACAGGCATTTCACAGACACTTGAGAATTGTCTCCGCAGCTCTTTTACAAGTTACAGTCAAGGACACTTAGAAGTAACAGCATCACCAAACCACCCACAATCTCAGCAATAATGGGTCCAGCAGGTTCTCTCCCCATGCATTTCTAACCAAATGCTTGACAGAAATGGGTCAGGTACAAAACCAGTGAGAGGTGAAGTAACCTTGTCAGCCTTTGAATTTGACTTGAGAAGCTGCCAAAACGTACACAGCAACAGTCACTAATGAGGCCCTAATTCTGCCATCACCAAACTCCCAAATTTCCATGAACTAAGACCCAGTCTTTAAGAGGAGGGAGAGGAGTGGTGTGTGTGTGTCTTGGCATGTACAAGATTGCGTGTAGTGTCATCAGTGTAAAACACACACCAAGCAGTAACAATACTAACCGAAGTCTTATTAATCCAATTCCTTTTAATATTTTGCTACAAATTAAATTAGTCCTTTTCTGTCTTGGGACAGTCAGGCTCCCCCTCTTTGGTTCTACTAGATCTGGTGCGTGTTGGTCCCGTGTCAAGGGCCACGCACACAGGCTGACACAGGTGCTGTGGTTGTTCTTATTTGTTTACAGGAGAAAAAAAAAAGGGTTATGCATAGAAATGTCTGTAGTGTCAAGGCCTCAGACTAAACTCTCTGGAGCAGGAACTGTCCTCTGCCTTATCCTTGTACAGGAGCCAGATGTGGTCATCCCACTTGGCAGCTTTTGTCAGACCCTAATAAGATTAGTACAATGTTTGCTCCCATTCTCCTGGTCTTGCTCAAAAACAAAGGCTGGATAGACATTTTTCCAATCTGTCATTTTACACGTACCTAAACTATTTACAGAGGAAGAGGTTCTCGCTCCTGAGAACAGAGTTAACTTGCTTTCAAACAAACCCCCTCCCAATTCCATATTAACAAGTGTGAGATTATGTCCTGAACCCCAGCCCTGGCCTATGAGTTCAGCCTGACACATCTGTAAATGATCTTCAACAGCAGGATCAGACCCAAAGGATCAGACTTGGAAGGGACTGCAGCATCCACAGCCTGCAAACACTGAAACCGAGCCTCTCTCAGGGCATTGGATAAAGCAGTGCTCAAGCAACAGGAAGCATGCGAAGGCAGCTTGGAAAGGACTCAGGAAAAACCAACGTTCATTCTGAAGACGGAGTTCCAGGTCTGGAAGGAGTCGATGCAAAAAAAAAAAAAAAAAAAATGCCAGGGATGAGGAAGCTTTCAGGTGCTCCTGTAGGTGCCCTGGGCCGGGAAGGCAGGCAGCACCCCTCAAAGCAAGGGGTCACAAAAACAGTCATGCAGCCCTGGTGTCTTAGGTGCACCATCAGAAGATGAAACTTTTACAGAGCTGCTCTGCAGCCAGCCCCAGCCCCATCTAGAACTACTGCACTCTCAGCACCACCACCACTAAAACTCACATCAGCGTTTTGGTAGGAAGGGAGGTGGGAAAGAAAAGCACAGTTACTATTTGACTCACAACCTGCCGATAGAGAACCGCGACGCAGCGGGTGAGGGTCTCTGCCCCAGGCTGCAGGGCTCAGCTCAGCCCTGGAGCACGGAGCAGAGATTGGCTTTGCAGGGCACGCTGCTGAGGCACATAGCTGTGTATGTGGCAGAGAGATGGGCTACAGTTGGGATACATCACCGATTCATTCCCTTTATCGAGCTGGCCTGACAAGCCAGGCTCAAAGCCTCCTCCTCAGGAGGAATGTACACAGAAATGCCACACACCCCCTCCACTCCCAAACCCCCCCCGGAAGTTTCAGAAGTGCCATAATCCACAAAGGACACAAGGTGAATCTCATCCTGAGAAATCCCTCTGCTGCTCCTGGAAAAAAAACCCTTTGCTGCAAACCCAGGGCTTACCTGAGGGGACAGGGAAGGTCATAAATAGCTTGAGCTTCTCCCAAAATACATTTGAGGAAAGGCAAAGAATTACCTCAAGGGTCAGGAAAACAGTCATTTTTAAACACTGTAAACATGCAGGGTGGCAAAGCTGCCTGCCCCAGTTGCCCCAGCTCTATCTCTTTCAAGACGTTGCCTTGGCTTCAAAGCTGAAAGTCTTCTTGTTCTGGCAACAGCTCTGTTTCCCCCCCGCACTGTCCTTAGCTAGCAGCTCCGTCACAAACAACCGCCGGCTCTGTCCCTTTGGCCATGAAGCTCATCGTCCAGTAATCTGCGCTGGCGTAACCTTTGGAAGATGTAACAGAGGCCAGATTAGATGAATCCAAGCTTAACGACTGCTCGCATTTCCTGTGAAGCAATGGGGGTACACAGAAGCTCTTTGGAAAGACACTGCCCTCAGTGACACCACTCAGCAGAGCACTGTGTCTTGTGTAGCCCACACTGCCTGGTTTTTACCCCGAACATCTCGTGGTATCCCACTGCTGGTGTTCCAGGCCACAATCTCCCAGGCCAGAACGATCACTCCTCTGTACTGCGAGCAGGCACACACCAGTTTGAAGGGGGTAACGGCACACACCACCTTGTCAGGTGTCAGATAGAAAAGACCCAACTGGAAGGAGTCTCCAAGGGATCTCCCAGACCCTGCATGCTACAGCACTGGTACTCACCCAAATCTCCAGCTTCCAGCTCCACCTTGAACACCTCACAGTGTCCTCTGCACTTGTCTAGAGGTACAACAGTCAGGGTGAGCTGCCCACTTCCAACAGCCACGAGGCTGTGCAAACTGTAGCTCTGGGAGGAGAGGAGATGATTTCAAAATCTTTGCTGCTTTTCTTGGGTCTGTCTGATCAAGCAAGGGGCAAGTCACTGCCCTGCAGCAAGGCAAGAAAGCGCAAACCACAGGTTTGCTGCTCCCCCCAGTCACCAGTAGATCACAGCTGAGGGCAGCTGCAGGCAAGGGTCCTCCTCCCCTCTTCTGCCCAAGGCAATGCGGGCCCTCCACACCCACAAAACCCACAAGAAAATGGAGGAGGAGATCAGGCTAGAAGCCTGAACGTCACAATCTTCAGTGAAATGTCTCCATGGTAGGTATCTTGGAATGGGTGAGACTTACTGCCAGGAATAGCTCCTAAAATGCAACTCTTAAATGAATTCTGCCCAGCTGTGCACAAAAAGACCATCCCCTCACCCAGCTACAGAGCAAGGCCAGAACATAAACGTGAACAGAGCTGGGACACCCCAGGGGCATCTCTAACTGCAGAGGGAGATGGGGACCGTGCACCTGCACAAAACCAGACACAACTCCTGGGTGGTGCAGCCTTGAGACGCCACACTGCCCAGGGATGGACAGAACTGACACAGCCCTAAACCCTTCTTGTCAGGGTTGTATCGGGTAAAAATGTTCTGCAAATCCCCCAGAGACTCGCAGCTCCGGGAGGACAACTCACAGACAGGGAAACAATGTCTCTGGGATGAATTTCTCACCTTATTCCCCAAATCTGGATGGCGGATGAGGAAGCAGCTCTCCAGGGACACTGTCTTGGGGAAGGACAGCAAAGAGGAAGTGGGGAAAATTTCCTGCAGAATCCGAGTTTTATTCACAGATTTGTTCCTAAACAAAACAACCCATGTTAAAGAAATACCACACAATGATAATGCTTCTATTTAGAAGACTACTTCCAAGATCAAAATTCTTCAGAAATATTCATGCTTGATAAACAGCCTGTTGACAGACTAGCCCCTAGGAGCAAAATTCGGCATCTCAGCTTCTAAATTCAGCATCTGTGCTGCTTCATATCTTCTTCTTAGCACCTGCAGCAGGACCACGTAAACCACAGATACCTAAGCTTAATCTCCCTCCCCTCTTCCCTTAAAACGATCTGAGTCATTGATCGGATGCATTAATTAGAAAAGATGTAGAGAGGTGGCATTGTATGTAACCATAACTGAAACCACATGGCAAGGCAGGGCGAATCCAAGTTTATTCTCTGGGCCCAGGAATGTAACTGGAAAAGGCAGGGTGGGGCTTGTTATTTTTACATCTCTGTCTAGTGGCTTCACATGATTAATACTTCTGTAGCCTGGTCATCCATCTACCAGTGCTGAGGTCAGGATGTGCAGCAAGAAAATCCCATCTAAGCATTAGACAACGCACAGGCTCCACCATGCCCTTCTCCAAGTCCGCTCGGATGCTGCCCCTTCGCTCACACAAAGGTGCCGGGGAGCCGGCTCCGCATTGAGTGGCACCTCCTCACGGGACGTGGCCCTCTTCTCCACAGGAAAGGATGTGGCTAACCGTGGCTAACCAAATTACTCTGCAATCTTAGCGAGCCCTGAATGGTGCAAACGTCTGGTAGCCACACTAAAGGCTTAAGCACAGTTAAGAGGGCCAGGATTAGGGTTGGCCATTTTGCCGGTGTGAGATCAGACACCAGTTGCAGGATCCCTTAGTTTTCTGTTGTCAGTGTTTTGCAAAAGTCTTGGCACCTCTCCTCAGTCAACACTAATGGTGGAGGATTTCCACTGAGCAGACACAGGTGATTAGAAATGGAAACAAGTTGCCTCTGGTGATCAGACCACAGCCCAGATGATTAACGTATGGCCTGAAGAACAGGACCGAGCAGTCACCAGGATATTTTTGTCTTGTAAGGGGAGCAATACATGAAGTCCCAGCCACAACACTTCATTTTTAGTGCAGATGTCTTCTCCTTGAATCAAATCGGTGCCAGCAAGTAGACAGAAGCCCGTAACCCCCTGCTCCTGCTGCCCTTCCCTCTGGTTAAAGCACAACTTGCAAGCTCCTGGTAGTTCACAGAGGCAAAGAGCCTGGGCACCCCTGCAGAAAGGACGTATACATCGATCACAGGTTTTGTCTTTGACTCACCAGGGAAAGAAAAATGGGCAGCTCCACAATTCAGCTGAATTTTCTTCTATTATAACCTCTGCCAGGTCTGGATCCTGGGACTGAAAATGCTTCAGTTCTTCATAGGAGAGATGCTGCCCTGTCTTAAACAACACAAACCACAGATAAAAGCTGTGCACCTGGGGTTCTTCCCCTTCCCTATTTCCATCCCACCACAGAACATCTAAGAGTGACAGCCATTTAGACTGCCAAGTTTCCAGCCACAATGATAATCAGTCAGAAGAACAACTTGCTAAGGATGCAGTGAGCTCCTCACCCCAACATCTTTAAACTGGGGCTAAATGTCTTCTTAGATACACATTCTACCTCAATTAGCAGTTGGAGTTTGTGGTTCAAAATGCTGGGCAGGGGTCTCTGGCTGGTGCCATTCAAGAGTTTGGACTAATTATCCAGCCTTACATATCCATGCGTTACCTTGATTAGAAAAGGCTGGGACCTCTGGAGCTTTTCTGATAGTTCTCCAAAGTCTGTCACTATCTGAAGGCTTTTCACAGCAGAACAGACTGTGCAGTTTGCAGGAAGCGTAGAAGTGTTCTGTCTGCAACCTGCTGCCCACCAGTCCTGGCATTCTTGAGAAGAAACAAGAGAAACATGTTTAATAAGACCAAAAATGAAATGGAAAGGAGACAGACTCGACGATAAACTCATTATCCCTAACATGAAACAGTGAGATTTCTTATAGCTTCCAATGGCTGTAAGTTACTCAAAAAGAGCAAGCTTCACTAAGCTGGGAACTCACCACAGAACATTTCCAGCACAGACTGAAGATTCTAGAGATAAGGCTCAGGGTTGTGAGAAATGGGAGAGCTTTATGGAAATTCCACTTCTCTGTATATATGAGGCTAAGCTACCTTTTCATTATCAACAGAAGGACAGCAACCACCACATATGGTGCAATTAAACTAAAACAAGTCCTCAAGCAAAAGAGCAATCCAAGCATGTTTAAAAAAAAAAAAAAAAAAAAAAAAAAAAAAAAAAAAAAATCAGGTTGAAAAGAGTAACTCTAACATGGTTACCACTGTGCCATGAACTCTGCTAATATCTCTCTGAAATCACTACCCTCCCCTTTACCTCTGTGTTAATTAAGAAATACTCTGTCCCGGGCAAAGTTTGCCCAGTCTGATGTGCAGAAAATTCTGGGGAATGGGGGATTTCACAAAGATGTGCTGCTGCTGATTTCACTCATCCGATGCATTGACTTGAAGATGAAATGGGGAGAAAAGTGTCAGCATGAGGAACCCCTGGACCACAGCTATGCCCATTTTGAATTCCACCAATCATTGTTACACCACGATTGGCTGAACTGCCCTACAATGAACATTTCATATGTTTGCATCTCCAAAAATTCAATTTTTACATGTAACCATTACTTGATGCCTATACTCTGCCTCCTCCAATTTAAGTCATCCCAGCACAAAAAAATAAGTAAACATTAACAGAAGTGACATGTTGCAGCACTGAATGAACAAGACAAGAGCCAGTAACACTGAACGCCCCACGCATTTCTATGCTAAAGATCTGCAGAAGCAGCCGCCACACTAAAAGGACGTGGCTCTAATTTCATGGCAGTGACAGCTCTGGTTTTCCAGCCTTAAATCTGACTGGGAGATGTTTGACTGGGGCAGTGGCAGCACACCCACCCAAGTGCCTGATCTGTCAGGGTGGGTTAGGAAAAACCCAAGGCCCGGGACACACCTCACATGAAACGTCCAGAGATCTGTCCTCACGACAGGCCCACCCGTCCCGTCCTGTGCCAGCACATGTCAAAACAGCTCATGTCTCCTGGACATTGCTGCAGGCCACCCACTCGGGAATTGGAGTGGATGGGAATGGGGAGAAAGAAGAGACAGCAAAGCCTGTCTGAAAAATAAAGTTGGGAAGCAAGGATGCATAGCAGATTTTTAGGGGGGGAAAAAAGACCACGCACACCCTGCCCGTTACTGCCATTGTGGTTTCCAGCTTCACTCAAGCTCCTGTGCAGGGGTAATAACTGATGAACAGCACTTAATAGGAAAGCTCTTGTTTTATTTTCCCTGCTGACATCTGTAACAGACAATGAGGAATGTTATAGAGGGTTTAGGTTCATTGGGACTTAACAACAAGGAGCAGACTGGGGTTCACTTTGGAAATATTCAGACAGAAAAAAGCAATCAACTCGCAAATGCTGCATTTCCCACCCTACTGCTGGGATATGGACTGAAAGGGATCAGGATATAATTCCTAGCCTTTCTGGAAGACGCGTCTACACTGCTTTCAGGGAAAGGGGTAAAAAGGCAAAACAAAGTGTAAAATCCTTATTGCAAGCAGAAGTCCAACTCCCATGAGAAACTGCTTCAACGTACTTTCCCTCCCTGCTCACAAGAGAAAAAAGAAAATCTTTGTTCCACTGCCTGTAGAAAGCTGCAATTTTACAACAACAAAAAAACTCAACTCACAAAAAACAGCTGGTCAGTGACAGGAAACAAAAGGCTGAAAGATCTCACCAGAGGAAGGGCAGTCGCCATGAAGAGAACAAGAAAACATATCTTATGGTCTCTCATCATAAAGGGAGTAGCAATGCTATAATTTCTCTCTGGGCAAAACTCAGAAACCTCATCCCAGAGCATTAAGCACAGTTGTCCCAAAATTTTCTCTCCAGGCTCAGGGCAATACCCCACGTAACAGGATGCTAATCAGCTTGACAGTATAGAGCTTGATTCCTCTTTTGAGCTAGGCTGGGATATTTGCATTCTCAATTGCTTGATTCAGGAGGTTATTTCTTTTCCCCATGAATAACCCAAGCGAAGCATGGTTGAGACGCATTTCAAATGCTGCAAGTGGGGTTGTGGGATTTTTTTTTTTTTTTTTTTTTGTAATTAATCTTTTAGATTTATTGTTGAGGGTGTTAGTCTGTGCACCAGCATGTGTGTGACTGGCATGACAAGTATGGGCAGAGAGAAGCGCCTGCCCTTCCCAGGGAGGGAGGGAGAAGAGACCACGGACAGAGGAGAGGGCAGGCAACTGCACACGGGGGACCAGAGCAGGACTTCTACCAAGGATGCTTATTCTCTCTTTCGATTACCCTCCCTGCATTCCTTTTACATTATCACCCTGCCCAGACACCCTGGGGGATTATTCTGGTTTAAGTCGAGCGTGCTGTCTGTGTGCACGCACAGTCTGCTCGGAGATTGAAAAGAAAGATGCACTCTTCATCCCAGCACAACTGTCACGTGCAGCCGTCACACGATGGTCCCATCCACTCGCATTCAAATGGTAAAGTGCTGGGCGTGTGCAATTATCCCTGTGGAGCCTGAGTGCAGGAAAGCAGCTGTAGTATTGACACGTACAACTATCCATTACGCGACAGAAGCACGGGCCAGTCCCAACTAACCTCTCCTCCACACTTGTGCTTTCCCATCGCTCTTTGAGGAGCAGCCTTAAGTTGGTTAAGCAAAACCTCAGTTCCACATCAGTCATACCCAGCTAGTATTTCCTTTTATGCTTTATTAGCTCTCCAGAACAAGAGCTGTCTTCTCCTCTGTTTCAGGATAACTCCTAGCAGAGCCAGGGCTGGGGACATCCAGCTGCTAATATAGCACAGACAAAGATAACAACTTTCCTTAAAACACGTCTATGATTAATGCTAGAAGGAGTTTATGACTGTACATTCCACTATGCAGAAAAATAATTTTCAACATACAATCAATTTAAAATTAGTACCCCGCCCTTCTTGGCTACTTTCAGAGAGGATCTCCCAAGTTTTTGGCTGGCCCCAGAACTACAGAGGGGTGTGTGCACACAACCCCAGAGATGCTGGGTGTGGACGATCAGATTGGAAGTTAAGAGGTTACTGAGAAGACCTGGCCCTGCTTCTGCCCGTTGCAGCGAAGAAATAAAACTTATGGAAACTGGCCCAGATAGATCTGAGAGCAGGACCTCAGCAACAGCTCTGGTCTCTTTAGGGACGATATGGAGGGCTAAGTATCGCTCTGCTGCTGCAGCAGGTTCAAAGGGAAGCTCCGTAGCAGGGGGACCTTTCGCTCCTGCAAGATGCACAGAGCCAAGGGCTGTTCCTGACCCTAACGAAGTGTTGAAAATGTAAAACCTCCTGCGTGTTGAACTGCAGGTGCTGAGGCAGCTTGCTGGCTCCCCACCAAGCTGGTTTACTCCCCAGTACTCAGGACTGTAACGCTGGAGAAACCTCCAGCAAGCAACAACTAAGTCTGCAAAGGAGAGTCTGGTGCGGAGGATGAAGGTCTCCTTCCTTAGGGGAGGAGAGCCATCACCCACGATAACTAGAAGCAAGCTCCCCAGAGGGCTGTCTAATGCACTGAGCAGCTCCACAGCCTGTAAAGGTTGGCTTCAAATCCCTGATTCTTCTTTCTGAGGCTGACACCATTCCCCAGTCCCACCACACACCTCACTAGGGACCAGGGCTAGGAGTAGTCAAGCAACTTCAGCAAGCCCCAGGATGAACCCGGGGCTCTCAAGAAAAACTGGCCTGTGCACTGAATGTTCACAGGATGTTTCTCTGTCCTTTCTTATAGGTCCATTGTACAAACCTGGCTGTTCCAATAACACTTCTGGACTGTTCCTTACAGGATCTGATGTACCATCAAGAACTACAAAGGGACCTGTAATCAGGGCAGGTCAGCAGGTAAACCTCAGGGCTCTCAAAAAACACCACCAGCTCTAAACTGGCCAATTCAAAGCGGAGCTCAGGATGGGGGGGACGACTCATACTGGCCCGACTCAGTGACTCACATATGGTGCTGCACTGACAGTCACAACCTTGGTCCTACGTGCTAGATCCAACAATGAGATGCCAATTTCCAGTTTTACAACGTCTCCCTACAGCTGCACATTTGTAAAAGTCAGGGGATTTTTCAAGGTGGATCTGAAGAAATCCTTCACAGGAAAGGATTAAGAGCACAGGCTGTGGTCTTACCTCTGTGGTCTACACCTCTGCTGTGAGCACACCTTCCCCTTGGCCAAAGGGACCCTTTATGGAGGCACATCTGACAGCCTGTGGGATACCCACCTCCTCCCTTCATTTTCATAGCAAAAGCCCAACCACAAGCTGGTTCTTATGGCTGACAGAGGGCAGAGCTTTTTCAGAGACATTCCATCCCACTTGTAAGATTCCCAGTGATGAAGGGCCCACGAGATCTTCAGTGCTCAGATGTCCAATTACTATTACCACAGAAGGGCTGCAGCTCTCCCTCCAGTTGGAAGTATCTAGCTTCCAGATGCTGGATTTTATAGTGCTGTTTTCCATTATTTTAAGGATGGGGATTTGGAAGGTCTAGCCCTTAACCTTAAAGTGAAGTTGCAGCTCATAACCTACTGTTATTGCTTTGACAGCCAAAGAATATGCAGGCCAGGTTGCTCTTGCTCCTGAGATATGAGTAGCCCCTTGCCGCACCGGGACCACTGTGGACTTACAGATGCTGTACTCCAGTAAACAGCTTGTTACTAGTTGTGCTATGCCACTGCAGCAGGATAATCTACACGCTTATCACCACGCCCTCCTAGATTTTATAGAAAGATAAACCAGTGTTTTACAAACTGGAAGCAATTAGACATCAAT